TTAGCAAGATTCCATTCACATATTTGGCTCATTTTGAAGGAAAGAATTGGAGTTGACAATATGATTCACGTACACACGCCAAATGAATAATTCATACTAAGATGGTATCGAAATATTCCACTTCTTTTGGAGTAAAGAGTGGAGGTTGATTGCATGATGGTCGGAGACATGAGAAATTAATAATTCTGAATAAGTTTGTATTCGATTTTTTTGTTCATTTTGGAAGAACGATTTGGAGTTGTTTACATCATCCACGAACACACTTGAAATGAATAATTTATAGTAACATTTGATTCAAATATTTTGCTCATTTCGTAGCAGAGAGTTAGAGTTGATAATATGATCGTCGACGACAAGATAAATAAATAATTGTCAATAAAATTCTAATGGAATATTTTGGTCATCCTGGAGGAAAAATTTAGAGTTGATTATATTATCCAAAAGCGCAGGATCAATGAATAATTCATATGAGAATTGTATTCAAATACTTTGTGCATTTCAGAGCAAACATTTGGAGTTAATTACATGATCAACAAACGCACGACAATTGAATATTTCTCAATATGGTTCTAATCGAATACTTTCCTCGTTCTGGACGAACAAGTTGGAGTTGATTACATCATCCACGAATATACATGAAATGAATAGTTCATAGTATGGTTCTATTGAAATATGTTGCTCGTTTCGGAGCAAAGATTTGGAGTGTATTACACCATCGACGGACATACGACAAATGAGTTTTTCTCAAGAAGGTTCTAATCGAATACTTTCCCCGTTCTGGACGAAAGATTTGGAGTTGATTACATCATCTACGAACACACAACAAATGAATAATCTATATTAAGATTCTATTCAAGTATTTTGCTTAATTTGAAAGAATAGATTTCGAGTTGATTACAGAACTGACGAGCACACGAGAAATGGAAAGTTTATACCACGATTCTATTCCATTATTTGGCTGATTCCGGAGGAAACATTTGCGATTGATCTTCATAATCGACGAACACGCTAAAAATTAATAGGTTGAACAAAGCTCCTATTGAAATAGTGTGCTCATTTTGGAGAAAAGATTAGGAGTTGATGGGATGATGGGCGAATAGTCGAAAAATGAATCATTCATATAATGATTCTATGCGCATATTTCGCTCAATTTAGAGGAAAGATTTGCAATTCATAACATGTTGACGAACACAAGAGTAATGAATAACTCGTAGTAAGTTTCTGTTCACACATTTTACTCATTTTGGAGGCAAGTTTTAGTGTTCATTATAGGATCAACGAATATACGATAAGTGAATCATTCATATCAAGATTCTGTTGAAATATTTTGCTCATTTTCGGAGTAAATATTTGAAGTTGATGATGCGATCGATTAATACACTACAAATGGATAATTATAATGTAGATGCTTCAATTCAGATTCTACGGTGTTCATTATATCCGGTTTGTATCCTATGCTGGAAAGTAAAATGTTGTGGGAAATGAAGAAGCCGTAGATTTGTCGACTAAATCATGGAGAATATCATTGGTCCCACCTTGATTCGCTACGGTTCGTGCCATGCAAGCTGTAGCCACCAATGCCAAGAAGACGATTAAACAGCTCAATAGACTGATATTTTGCATTTTCCTTTTTTGTTGTTCAACGATTGAGAAGAGAGTGGTAGATGAATACAATCAGGTGTGTAAATGGTATAGTTCTACAGTCGTGTTTTAACTTTATATATACGTCGATTGCCGAACAATGAGGAATCTAGGAGAAAAAAAAGTCTTTTTTTATCAATGGAGAGATACAGCCCATGTAACGTGAGGTGGCGCTTTATCTTTACTTTATCGAATAACACAAAGTACTGTGTTTTGTTTTAATAGGCGAAGTAAAGTGGATCAACTTTACGTTAACAGGTAAAATAAAATAGGTCAACTTTGTTTTGCTAACAATGGAGGTGTTTGTGTTGATAATCAAAAAGATAGGATATATTCGGGTGAAATGAAAGCTCTCATTGCCAAACTGACAAGGTTAAAATATTAGCAGCCCTTGGCTTGCCTAGAGCGAGATATTTAGATTTTAAATTTAGGTATAAAAATGAATCTGGAAATGTTTTCTCCACTATTATAAGGACAAAACATAGTGTTGTTCGGGCCATATGAAAGAGGAACCCTATAAACCCCATAATCGCCCCGAACAACACTATGTTTTGTCCTTATAGTAGTGGAGAAAACCTTTCCAGATTCATTTTTATACCTAAATTTAAAATCTAAATATCTCGCTCGAGGCAAGCCAAGAGCCGCTAATATTTTAACCTTGTTAGTTTGGCAATGAGAGCTTTCATTTGACCCGAATATGTGCCATTTTTTCCGCGGACAATACAAACACCTCCATTGTAAGATGTATCGCTCTGTGTTTCTCTGCGACTCTAAATCTGTTATGTTTTACTGTGAAAAGAAAGAGATGAAATGTACAAATTTATCAGATATGTTGTCTTGAAATTCAACCAGTTTCACAAGATTTCATAACGTTTCGACGTTGAACAAAGAGTAGAGCTGAAATCTGCGCCGCCCAGATGTCATATACATTTGTGCAGTTTTATCCTACACAAGATGGGGTGTGGGTATGGGTGTGAGGTGTGGCGTGCGAGTGTGTGGATGTGGGTGGGTGTGGACAGTGGGTGACCTGGCTGTGGGAGATGTAAAAGAAAATCCACACTCATACTCACATCCACACTCGCATACCTACATCTAGGCCCACACCCCTGTCGGTATACCGTTTGGTGTACAACTTGTGTTGAACGAATGGGCTCACTTTTTTATAATGACATCTAGCGCTTTTCGCACGAATATTGTACATGGCATTTGGTTTGAACTCGGTATTCAAGAGTTTTGTAAATTCTGGAACAACAGAAATTAACTCTTATTTTGACTAAACTCATCTGAACGTTCCATATGAGTTTTACGTAGATATGCACAGGGTCAGCCTTTTTGGTTCCGATCTCAGTTCCGGGCTTATTAAAAATCTTGCTAACAGAAAACTCGAAATAATTTCCTGTCAACGATGAAAAGTTCAAGATATTTTGCTGCTATATCGCGATCCATATAGCCATTAAAGAACATGAACAGGATCGTCTGTTTTTGGTCCCCGTCTCGATCCTGGTAAAAAAAAGAGATTTTTGACTCTGTCCATGTCTATTTTCACGATTAATGTTACCGTCTAGCGGTAGTTAAACCGTAGTAGGCTCATATTAATTTCTTCACAAGAATGCCTCATGTGAACTTGCATCAAGTTAGTACTGATCTGCTTTTACGTTAAGTAACACATGAGGAAATATTTGTTTACTGCTTTTCATATAGTTTTTGATATACTAACGATTGTTAGTCAGGATAGCTATGTATTGTAATACAAAATTTCATAACAAGGTTTGCTCCGATAAGGTAAATAGTAATTCTTTAAAAAACACAGCAAAACTCGCTCTGTAAAGCATAAATTAATGGTGAAACAGCACAGAACGGTAGCGGAAAGGTTTAAATAGAAATAGACGAGGTGAGGTGATGACGAAGCAATCTTCAGCTGAACAGACGGTGTCGGAACGATTTCTTAGCTGTTATGCAGATCTCTGTTCTGTTCAATTCGATCAGAACACTATAACAATTTACATGCTTCGTATAGTCAACTTATCTGCAATTCTCATCTGCAGCTAATTGATATGCATACAAAATCCTTTTATGGTCAGTGGTATTCACTATGACGATATGTCATGCATAGAGATTGGGACGGAAAGAGTTTGACAATAAATTAATAAACAACATCGACGAGGTAGATGTGCATGTGAAGAAACGTCGTTTTGCTAGCATAGATTTTCGAGCCAAGTTGACTTGACCAATAAAACCTGATAATAAATTCAAATTTCTATCATTTTTCATAATTTTTTTAATGAATATGTTCAGAAACAGCTCTTCTATCTGTCTATGCGGCATCTGAGCCAAACTAACATCGCCTATATGCAAAAAACAATAAAAGTACGATGTTGAATCTATGATTATGGCTAGACAAAAAACAACATGTTTAAAAAAAATTTGTTTTCTCGAAAGTGGAATGGAACAAATTTGATTTCATATTCGAATAGAGTATACTAGAATGCATGGAGCTATATAATTTTGGCCACAACTGTAGAAAGTTGTTTGACAAAGGTCGTAGTTCTCTCCCATCAACTGTTAATTGGCATTTAAAGATCTGCTCGGGATAGAACACTGTTTACCTCATGGATGCTTTGCTGCATTAGCTATGAAAACAATTTTTAGGGATAGTAGAATATATGCGCTTGTATTGATGGCCAAGTATCCATATCTCTGTCTCCTTGTGGCTACTCATTGTCATCATATTTGTAATTTTCTTCAATTGAAACAAAGAAACGGAGAGACTTCTAGTAGAAGCTTTTCGTCTCAACCAATCAGATTTCAGTCAGTAAGCATTTTCTTCCCTATTGTAAGGACGAAACATAGTGGTGTCCGCGTCGATCAGGGATTTGAGGGTGAGGGTGAGGAATTCGACTATTTGTTATAAATCATAAGGCATGAACTGAATTTCGTGTAAAATATGACAAGCGTGAAGTGAATTCGAAATTTCTAGTTTAGGTAGTTTTGAAACCAGTTTGTTTGACCATTTATGACATATTTATGTGTTTGAAAATGTTGTTCAAATTCGCTATAGAGGCTTATAATTAGTTCTTAAAAATGTTATTTGGGTAGTTAGAAAAGTGTAATTGTGTATCAATATATGATATTCCATAAAAAAAATTGTGACAAAGCAAAAATTGGAGAAAAAAAAACGTTTGAATAATATTTATTAAAAGTTGTTCTCTAAACTATTAAATACGACAAAAATCGTAAAAATATTTTTTCCGTATATAAGACAATTTGACAGGGATTGCAATTCAGTAGAAGAATAAATATGCATGAAGAAGGGGAATTTTATTTGAGGAAAAAAAAACTAGCTGCACGTATTTTTGAGTTTAGTTGTCTGTTTTTTGTATTTGATTAAGTTCGATTGTTGCTGCTGCTTTTCTATTTCTTGTTTCCATGAGAGAACGACCAGTTGTCGTAAGTATTGGGTTAATTCTATTGTTTAATCTGCAGTATCGAACAATAAGTTTTCCCAAATGAGATTGAGTTTTAAATGATCGAAAATATGATTCAGAAGGTAAAATAAAAATAAAAAATGTCGATGCTTGATGTATATAGATAATCAGATTGACTGATGTATTTAATCTTAATAACCATTTAATAGATGCATCGACACACGAGAATAACATTGTCAGTATCAATTGAGGTGAAATGCAAATCTTAAAAAGAGAATTAATTTATATAAAATAATCTGAATAGAATGACTTACCGTAGCTAATGTAGGTGCTAAGAAAAGATGACAATGACGACGAAAATGTTTCTTCCATTGATTCCAATAAGATGTTTGATGAAGAGTAGCCCTTCGACGACTAATTAAAGTAAGAATCAAACAATCGGCGAACACATTTAATGACAATGGCACAAATAAATGAATAAATGAAAATATTGTATTCATTGTCAATAATGGTGGTGGATATTTTATTTGACAAATATAATTTCCTTTAAGAAGTGGATCACTAACTGATATTCGATAAATCAATTCGTGAATATGCATTAAAATCATAGTAATTATCAAAACAACGATTTGTTTTATTACAAATGATCGTGAACGAATTTTATTTATTAAATGATTTGCTTCAAATGATTGAAGTGCACGTTGAATTGCAATAAATGCACTCATCCATAAACAAATTCGAGTAATTATTGATGCTAGACCAGATACAACATTACAGATAATAAAAGATGCAACATAAGAAAATGCTTTCAGCATTCGAATAAGACGACATTCAACCAATATTAAACCAAATATTGAAAAACAACTATAAACAATTAAATATAATCCAACTGTACTTGATCTTATTTCTATTTGTTTGAGTGCATCAATAGAAAATATATTCGATATTATACCAAATACAACCAAAATTGTGACACTAAATGCATAAGCAAATGTCATTAACTCTTGTTGATCAATGCTGCTTCCTCGAATATCTGATGTCATTCCAGATACCAAACCAAGAAGAAATATATTGATTGAATTGTTGCAACTCATTTTGTTTTATCAAATATATCAAAGTTAATTTGAAGAATTTACTTGCAACAACTACAACAATATTTCAACTCAATTTATATTTGAATGATAGAGACATTTAGCTCATTAAAAGATTACTTCAAAGCATATTTCAGGCATGTCAATCAACTAAAGAATCTAATGAAGTTTATTCTTCCGTTTTAATTCTATTCATTCTGTATTGTAAAGATGGCTTATTAGATTTAATCAAAATTTCAATCTTCTCTTTTACAAATTACTTCTTATATAGAATTTATTTAATATTTTATTACCTGAAGCTCATTTCGACTTAGAAAAACTAATCTACTTCAAATAAAATCTCATCAACGATAACAATTTTTCATAAGTAAATCTATTAAAAATACATTTTTAACATTGAAATAATGTGTCTGTCAAATTCATCTTTATCTCAATATTTCATTAACATTTATTTTGAATTAATGTTAAAAATCGTTCCCTCTATGGAGATAGATATTCTTCATCTCATTTAATCACTTTATCAAAATAGTCGTCAACGACGTCATAACGGTAATAAATACACAATTATACAATAGAAATTTTGCTCTTTTCACGCTTCTGGCTCGTGTTGTTAAATACAATATCCGGTGTGATGGATAATCATGCATTTTTATTTCATTGACTTGTTTATATATAGAATATAATCAAATAATCTTTCAAAATGAAATTACTTTCACCCGAAAAAGCATCAATAAATAGAGAGATCTTTTCTAATTAATATCATTTATCACATATAACAAATATATCTCTAGTCTGTTTTTGTGTTTTATTCATCAAACAAAAATAAATATTTCGTTTTCAGAAAAAACTCTTCGTATGATGAATTTAAAAGAAAATCTGACAGATTATTCCATAAGTAATAGGAATTTGAAGTGTGAGATATAGGAGAAGGGCCACTTGTTCGTAAATCGGTCTATCGGACTTTTTTCAAGAAAACCCATACTATCTTATACCAAATGAAAGAGCCCAGTGAGACAATGGTGGCTCGACCCTCCAAATTTTGAGGGGATATAAATATTTTTTGTCCAAGATATTGTGTGCTAAAAGAAACATATTTAGAGTGATACTTTAAAATACTGTATATTATGATAGAGAAAAGAATGCTCTATTTTTTAATGCTATTTAATCATACTTCAACTAATATTATAGTAATAAAATTTCGATAAGACCTGTTTTGTTACCATATGTGCTGGTTGTATTAATACTCATTTTGAAAAATACAAGTGAGTATTTTTTTTGAATAATTTTTGATAGAAATAAGATAGAGAACTGCGATTGTCACTGTTGGAAAGAAGAGATGAAGGGTGTGGATGTGGATGTGGATCTTGAACACAAGAAGACACTCATACCCCACACCCACACCCTATCTCCACAAAATATCTTTCCATGAAACAAAAGAAAATAAATATTAAAATATGATTAATTGAAAGAATAACAACTTGTAAACTATATATCTCGATATGAATTAACACGTTGTTTTTGAAAACAATATTTTCGTTAGAATAAATAAGTTGCAACAGTTCTGGTTTTCACAAAAAATTATCATAAATTTTTGTACAGGATACTAAAGAGGTTAATCGAATTTTTAATTCAGTTGCAATATGTTCTACTGGCATATGATTTCGTTTATTATCGTACAAGTGTTTCATTATCGAATGAAAGAAGAGGAAAATATATGAGCAAATGAAGAAAAAAAGAATTTGTCTGTTGAACTGACCAACAGAAGGAAAACTTAAACATCTTTTGAATTATTAAATTTTATAGAATATATCGACAAATAAATGAATATACGTGAAATAACAAGTACCTAAAGTCTGGAAAAAATCCGGAAACCAGAAAGATTTCAGATAAATCTTTAAAATTCGGAATTATTCTAGCAAATCCAGAAGATCTGGCAACACTGATCTTGTATGAGTTCTAATTGTCAACACATTGTTATGAAAAATTGATATGTTACATCTAAATAGTCGTCTTCCTGACTACAGACTGAGATTTCGTCACATTTTTTCGTTTCTTGGAACGATTGCATTAAGAAGTTCTGGACATCGCTATTTCCCACTTGCATAACTCTCGATCGCTTATGTTAAAAGTTAAAGGTGATTGATATTCTTTAATCTGGTGTGCCATGCTTTTTCTTCTTTAAATAAACCAATTCATAACCTACGTAGTAATAATTTCTAATCTTCATCATCATGTATATAGGATGACTATTCCATGATTAGTCACACATTGATAACTGTAATGTTTTCTAGTAGTGAATTGGTTACATTCATAGTAAAATATCAACATCGGAATCTTTAACAACTAAAAAGAAAATTCTTATTGAAAAATCATCGAATCTGCTGATGCTGAATGTGATCTCAACGCAACAATCCTAATCAAAATGTCGGTAAAGTCAATTACTTTGTCTTTTTTTATCGAGTTCTATATTTCATAAGATGGAATAAGAATTACGAACGTTCAATGTAGTAATTTTATATCGTCTTTTGTATAATGATAGTTTAAGAGTCAAGTAATAGAGATTGTTCATGCAAGCGAAAAATATTTTAAATAACATTTTTTAAATATCGATAAATGTTCACATTTTTCAACAGAAGTTTGCGATAGGAGCTGTTTGCAACGCATGTAACAGAAAAAAAGTTTAGAATGAGAAGGAAATAGTTAAAGAATTTTCGATCTTTCATCATGATATCATATTTTTAAAAAAGCCATGGTCATGATATACACACGAAGCAATGACTCATGATTCGGTTGATTGATAGAAAAAGAAAAAAAATTGAAAAGAACGAAACAGAGACGTGACTTGTGTAGGCAAAGAAAGTTGAGGAAGAAAAAAAAATACTATCACATAATTACACTTCACTCTACGTATAGAAGAAAAAAAAATGCAATGCTATACGTATAGGAGAAATAAATAAATTATTTTCATGCAAATGATCAGCTTCGATTGTTGTGTGTTCGACATTGATAAGCTAAACAGTATTTAGTACATAGCACTGATGCATAGTTTGAGAAAACAAGACCCATGAGATAGCACGTTTGTCATCAGATGTATTGTAGAGAAAAATATACGTCCTGTTATTATCGTGTAATAACACTTGATGATATCACGCAGCGTCCAAGCAGAACATATTAAGAGACGAGAAGGAGTGGGAAATTTCCAACTTTGTGTAGATACTATGAATATAACAGAAAAAAAAGTATTTCTCATCCAAACGAAGTATATACTAAACCTTTTTTCATACGAACATGTCAACGTCGTTCAACAGAGCAACAGTAGTAACGTCACTTACGGTCACTCCTTCAAGTGAATTGACTGGTCTATTCAGTCGTAACATCAATCTAGAAGATTTCACCGTTATATGGCTCGATGCAAATGTAAATAAAACAAACGATTGCCACGAAACTCAGAAATGTCTTCGTGAAATCATCAATAATTTAATACTTTTTGACAATATCGAATTGTGTATTAAGTGTATCGATGAATATGAGACAGAGAAAATTTTTCTGATTATTTCGGGTGAGCTGGGTGAAGCAATTGTCCCTCATATGCTCAACCGACATCAAGTAGTACAAATCTACATTTATTGTTTCGACTCCGACAAACATCTTCAACGGACATCAAAGTATGCCAAGATTGGAGATCGAGTCATAACTGGAAGACAACAACGTGTTCAACAACTAAAGCAAGATGCCCTAAATAGTACACGAAAAGTGCGTTCATTGGAGAACTCTCTACGCTATCTGGATGAAGATCCAGGATCATTTCTCTGGTTTCAGCTTTTACTGCGCGCTCTAATTCGAATGAATTCCTCAGATAGGGCTAAAGTTGACATGATCGAACAATGTCGAGCATATTTTCAGGATAATCCAGCGACACTCTGACAAATCGATGAATTTGAACAAACCTATGAACCGAACAAGGCAATAGCATGGTATACTCGAGATAGTTTCATCTATCGAATTGTTAATCGAGCTCTTCGAACGGAAGATATCGACATTGTATTCATTTTCCGATTTTTCCTTACCGATTTACATAATCAATTATCAAAACTACATGCCACATATCGAGAAAATCTTCTTGCATGGGATTATTCAATTCTCACTGTTTATCGAGGACAATTTATGAAATTTGAAGAGTTCAACAAGTTGCAACAGAGTATTGGACATATCGTTGCCATGAATACGTTTGTTTCGACTACACCACTTCAATTTCTAGCGGAAATCTTTGCCGGCGATGGATCAAAACGACCTAACGAAGAGTCAATCATCGTCGAAATTGAAATTGATGTAGACAAGCGTGACAAAGCTTTTGCCGATATTCAACAATACAGTTTTATGCACGACGAAGAAGAAACATTAATGCCCATTGCGACAATGGTGAGAGTACAATCTATAGTCGAAGTGAGTAGTATCTGGCATGTGAAATTGCAAGCAAGTGACGATAAATATATACCACTCAAAGAAATGAGTGAGTATCTAGATGCAACCGAAGACAAGGAAATGCAATTTATCAACATTTTAATTATAATGGGAGATAAAGTCCGAGCAGAACGATACAGAAATGCATTACGACTTGATTATGAGTCGATTGCTGTAAGACTAGAAGCAGAACTCATGGCTGAAGATAATACAGATCGTGGAAAAACCTATGGCAAACTTATTGATTGTCGATGTTACATCGAAAATTCCGAAGTGACACAAATGTTAGATCGAAGGCTCGATACATTCATAGAATTGACCGACGATCAGAATTTACGCGCTCAACACATGTTAGTCACTGGTAATTACTTACTTCAACAAAAAGAATACGAACGTACTTTGGATGTTTTGAATGGTTTACTTCACGTGCAAAAAATTGGATGTCAAAATTCTATACATTCATTATTATCAACTGTTCATTTCCTAATTGCTAATGCATTGACTCAGACTGGCAATTATTCTTATGCAATCGAACACATCAA